TCTCCCCTCCTGCCAGGTGTTCTGCCATGCCCTTGGTACTCTCAGCACCTCACACACGTCCTGGCAGAAGTTTTTCTCACAGTGGGTATGTAGGGGAGACCTTCTCGTGGGTTGAGGTGCAGGTATAGATATTGACACCTGATGATAAAGAGCGGCCGCCTGGCACACTGATGCCCCGGACATTCAATACCTTGGAGAGGCGGGACTCGCCCACTGCCTCAAAGGGACCGAGACAATAAGGGTTTGATTCCGTCCATAAACGATATGATAATGAGCCTTTTGTGCCGTTCTCCCTACATGAATGGCCAGCGCCTGGATCTATTTATATTACCTCCGCTAATTGTTACCTGCCACCCACACCTAACGGAGACCCACGTAAAATCGTGCCCTTATCATTCCGGAGTATGGGAGGCGCGACTCTTGTGGTCTTCCTCCTATAGTAGTGGTGTGGTGCAGGGGAGGTGAGGTATGGTGCTTGTGGTGCAAGAGTATGTTGAGGTGTGGTGCTTTGTGGTGCAAGAATTTGGTAAGATGTGGTGCTGTGTGGTGCAAAAATTTGTTGAGGTGTGTTGCAGTATGGTGCAGGAGGGGGTGTGTGGTGTAGGATGTGGTGTCGGATTTTGTTGAGGTGTGGTGCAGGAGGGGGTGTGTGGTGCAAGAGGAGGCTGAGGTGTACTACAAGAGGGGGGGTGGAGGTGTTGCTGGTTGCAGAAGGTTGTTGAATCATGATCGTCAGAGTTGTTCCTGTGTTTGCCCGTCGTGCCAACACACCACACTGCTCGTATAGTTCATCAACAGCTGACTATTGGCGCTATTATTAAATTATTCACAATTAATTCCTCAAAAATTAACTAACAACTTTCAAACACGTAATTAATTCCTAGCAAGTAATTTTCAAAAACTCAAAAAGGGAAGAAGAGTTAGATATTATTACTAAATCTTGCATAGTAGTTTTTAGAGAAGTGTTTGGGCTCCAAGGTAAATTTTGCAGGTGTTTTAATTCCAGGTGAAAGTATGATTAGAGGTATGACTAAGGCACAGACATCTTAACTCACCGTCCCTCACACGCCATGTAATAGAGACAGAAAAATAAAGAGATCATTTCCTTATAGCGCGTTGTAGTCTCTGTCTTACGTCTACCTCAACGACTTAGTGACAATATGTAAAAAAAATCGTCAAACTAATCACCTTAGCTTTTGATATCGTTAAGCGAAAAGTCAGTAAGTTATCAGAGTGTAATTAATACGTCATTGAGGAAAATTAATGTTATATTTTACGGGGATTACCTGTGAGAGACTACGAGCTCACCTGAAGGACAGACAAACCTTCACATGAGGCCGTAATTACAGGTGTGTCAGGTGAAGGAGCTGACGTTCACCAGGTATCTAAAACAAAAACGAATCGACAGTAAATACATAACTAAATTAAGATGGTTATTGGCTGATATTACCTACGACAAGAACGTACATGCATTGACACCTTGAGTAAATAGACATGGTATCCTGGAATATAAAGACATTTAAATATATATATTATCCCTTCAAACTGTCTTGTGTCTATATAAGTCAGACGTTTTGTGCTATTGTTGACATTTGAGGCGGCCATCTTGAACCTTCCCTGTTCAGTAAGAATGGCGGTCCCTTTCTCTTGTAGATTTACGCTATTTTTTTATTATTTATTTAGTTATTATTTTTATTGTTATTTTTGTTAATGTTGTCGTATTGTTGTTAGTTTATTATTATTATTATTATTATTATTATTATTATTATTATTATTATTATTATTATTATTATTATTATTATTATTATTATTTAATACGACCACTATTTACTAACTGGGAGACAAGTCAGTGTCGCAATGATGTTACGACAACCAGCTGATAACTTTAGATGGTTGAGAGTTGGTTAGGCCCTTATGAGTCTCCACCATAGCCTGGATGAGTCTCCACTACAGCTTGGGAATGAGTCTCCACCACATCCTGGGAGAGTCTCCGCCACAGCCTGGGAGAGTCTCCGCCACTGCCTGGGAGAGTCTCCACCACAGCCTGGGAGAGTCTCCGCCACAGCCTGGGAGCGCGGGTCAGGGCAGGTCGCGCCGCCTATTTACATATCTATTTGGACAAGATTAATGGGAGAGCGGGAGTGCCGGGTCTTTGGTCTTCGGGTCTTCCCACAATGTTTCGGGTCCGGACCAGACCGAAGCCGGACGCGCTGGCGGCTGTGTTGAGATTCCCGCACTGTGTTCTCCACCTGATGTGTTATTACTATGTGGTGCCGGGATGGCCCTGGTTATGCCACAGTGCCATACTGGAAATCTCATGAGCACCATACTTTGAGCTGTGGTGGCGCTTAATATTGAATTTATGCTTCCTTTGAGTGTTAGTCTTTGCCATTATGTCACACTGAGATTGACTGAGTGTCGTACTGTAGGCCACAGGGTATCCAAAAGTAGGAGTGCCACACTGTTACATTGAGGTAGTCATTGTGCTACTAAGGGTGCCAATTCTCAACAGTAATGATGCCATAGTTTACATTTGGAGAGTCACAGTGCCACATAGTGTTTGCCATAGTGCCACACACGTGGCACAGCCTCCTCACAAGACTAGACCCCCGAGTGCCTCGCCTTATCTGCATTTCTCAATTAATCAGGGCGTGAGGCATTAAAGATGATAGTGGAGGTGAGGAGAGGCTAGTTGTGGCCTCTGTGTCGGGGACCACAAGGGTCAGGATCGCCTGGCCACCTCCTACACTCTCACTATATTTGATAATTACCTCCTGGGACTGTGACGTGTGGCCCAGTGTTTGATGATGAAGCTTTGTGGCCACACACACACACACACACACACAAAACTTGCAGAAACGTAAGACATCATTGGCCGTTGCCCTTGTGGACTTCAGGAAGGCCTTTGACCTTGTTGATCACTGCACTGTTATCAACAAGGCTATCGCACTAAGGCTGCCCACCAACCTGGTCTCGTGGCTCACTGATTTCTTGAGTGGACGTCGCCAGGCAGTGAGGTATCAGGGCTTGGTCTCCACCTTCCAACACCTCACCTGCGGTGCTCCCCAGGGGACCAAGATGGGACCACTGTGCTTCCTCATCCAGATCAACGACGCTCTATCGGACACTCCTCACAGGTGGAAGTACGTGGATGACTGCACTGTGGGGGTGTCAGTGGACAACACCGCACCAGACTACTCATCGCTACAAGGCACCCTGGACAGGCTACAGGCATGGACCACGGAGAACAAGGTCACCATCAACCACACCAAAACCGTAGTCATTCACATCAATACCGCCACCACTCCAGTGCAAGCCCCAGCAGTCACAGTGGGTGCCCATCCTCTCCAGCTGGTGCACTGGTGCAGTCTGCCAAACTCCTGGGTGTAACCATAGACAACAAACTTGACTGGAAGGCCCATGTAAATAACACAGTCAAGGCAGCCTCGTACCGTCTCTACATGCTACGACGACTTAGGTCACTTGGGACACCCACGCCGGAGCTGAGGACCATCTACAACGTCCTTTATTCTCCCCAAACTAACGTATGCGTCACCAGCCTGGTCGTCTTCTCTCAACTCCACCCAACAACGTCAGCTAGAGAAGGTACAGAAAAGGGCCTGCAGAATCATGCTCGGCACTTAGAATACTCCGGCTACACCAACGCTCTCTCCACCCACAAATGCCATCCCTCAGTGACCTCCACCACCAAGCACTGGAAAGGTTTGGCAGCATTGGACTACTACTTTCACCCTCGTCATCGCCACCTCCTGCACCCACCTGCAACCCCACCAACTCATTTTGATCCCACCACTACAACAAAATTCAGCCCACAGAGGCCCGCATGATAGATATAAGAGCAACCATCCCATCTATTGTTCAAAATAATAACAACTCTGATTTATGTACTGTACAGCTTCCCTGTAATTTATTCAATGCATATTATATCATTATGTCTAAATCAAATGTAAGTCTGTATATTTTCAGCCACCAGCCTACGCTCTATTAATAAACCGTTTGTATTATTGTGTGTGTGTGTGTGTGTGTGTGTGTGTGTACACACACACACACACACTCAGCCTCACTCCCACGTCCAGTTTTCTTTTACCCAAAAGTGGGAAAACGAAGCGATATTTTTTCTTATCTGGTATCAGTGTTAAAGACACCCTCTTCCCAGGTGATTACAGAGTCCTTAGATCGGCTCTTCTACCTGGGCTCGTGAACCCGATATTTTGATCTCGCTGGCTATTGCCTGGGAGAGAGAGAGAAGATACTAAGTCCTCTGATTTACATAGATTATAAAGAAGCCTGTTTTACAATTTTTATCATACTAAGTAATTCGAGATTAGGGTTTGGCAATTACAGTGATCGACCGGTGCTGTTAGGTACTCGCTTACACCATGTTCCAGTCAGCCAGGAGATCAGGGTGTATGTATCATGTAATTATTAAGTGTCGGTGATGGTAGTGGGTGTGTGTGGGCGGGAGGAAGAGCTTGTGTGGGCGGGGATGGGCGGGGAGAGGCGTCATAAGCCCCTCCTCCCTCTCGTTTTGTTTCGCTGCTCCGCTACACACACACACACACACACACACACACACACACTTCTCCCTCATTCCCTCCCTCTCTCTCTCACCCTCTCCCCCTTCCCTTCACTACGCCCCTCATACCCAACCAACCCCCCTCTCTCCCACCCGTTGACTCATGTTGCTAATGGTGAACACATGCCCAGACTTGTTAATACGTGTTAGAGAAGCGCTGGTGTTTGTTTATACCTGCTAATACGTGTTCTTTGTAGTGAGAGAGTGATTTAACTTTCTTTTTATCACTGTGTTTACACTTTGGCACTGTGCTGAAGACGTACGCGCGCGCACGTGTGTGTGTGTGTGTGTGTGTGTGTGTGATGAAGATTACATAGATTTACGGTGAAACAATACACACGGGCGATTAAATCCATCTGAATGTTGACTCGTAACTAAGCACCTCGTTTCTTTTGGCATGCAGGTCGGGGCGGGTCCCCCCCAGGCTCACAGGAGGCGCTGCTGGAGGCGACGCGACTCACCATGTGGAAGCTGTACAACCAGGGGTTCGGGGGCGGCGGCTTCCAGCACGAGGACGAGCCGCCCAAGCTGCCTCCTCCTTACCACCCGTTGGCGGGGGTCCCCTTCCCTCCACAGAAGGAGGCGCTAAACCTTGACCTTAAAGAAGACGTAAGTATTTATGTAAATCATTTAGGAAGAAGAGTAACGCCTGTCTCTCCCAGGTTGTAAACACTGTAAGACTGATGACACAAACAGAGACCTTGACGCTGGTGGTGTTCAGTATCTGGCGTCATGCAAGGGGTCATTCTGGCCACCTCTCTCTTTGTGGAAATAATACTTAAATATGATATAGGACAAACACAAGTATGTTTATTGCATCAATCAAAATAATTAAACGAAGATCATTATTTTAATATCACAGATGACTTAAACTTACCTAATATAATTATATAAACATTGTTCTCTGCTGCCATGTTCATTTTATGATCAATTTATTCAAAGTTCTCTCCTTCTTTATAACCGAAAACATCAGATGTTCTTCTTGCAGCGGCCGGGACGACTTAAGGAGAACTCCGACCTCCGCAACGATATGCGCCATGACCTACGCAACGACCTACGCAACGACCTACGCAACGACCTACGAAATGACATTCGCAATGATATGCGTAACGACATGCGTAACGACATGCGTAACGACCTACGCAGTCGTTTAGAAGAAGGCGCGTTACCCCCCGCGGCCAAACGACCCGCTCAACACGAAGACCACCACGATCCTCGCCTACCGTCGCCCACCACGCCCACGCCACCCACACCCCCAGGACCACCCGGCGCCAACATCAAGATCACTTCCAGGGGTGAGTATAAAATCACACACACACACACACTCATTTATACACACAAATCACACACAAATTACAATCACACACAAATTACAATCACACAAAAACCACAATTACACACAAAACATACTCACACATACAGAAAACAAACAAACACACACACACACACACACACACACACACACACACACACACACACACACATGTTTCAAATGCGTGTAGCAGTTGAGAGAGAGAGAGAGAGTTATGTGTGTTTGTGTTTTATTGTAATGTGTATGTAATGTTTGATTGTTATCATCTTGTGTGTACTTGCTCGCACATGACACGAGCTCACTGCCGCCTCAGCCAAACACAACAGGTACTGATAACACAAGAGAGTGTCGCTACTTAAATATTTTGGGTGTTGTTCTTGTGTCTGTCTAACCAGTGAGTGAGACATACATTTGTGGTGTGTTTAACTAATATAGGGTTATGAGGTCTGATAAGAAGTTATTTGTGTTTAAATATTGTCTTATATTTTGGAGAATTAGCAAGATCGAAACACTTGCAACTGACAGGTATTGCAATGACTGATGATAGTTATGTGTTACGTGTAAGTATTGTATGATTGTTCTGATTCGTTTTTGTGTTGTGCGTAAATATTGTAGGTTTTTTTTTCTTGTTAATTTTTGTTGATCTTTGCAGGGGATGGTCGTGGCGGAGACCAGAGTATGGTGGTCAGCATGGAGGTAAACGGCATTATGTATCAGGGAGTGTTGTTCGCCCAGGCACCCAGGGCTCGCTTCAGCTAAGGTGCTGCCCCCGTGACAACACCTCACCTTCTACCCACATCAACCTCACCCTACGGCAAGATCGTCCATCCCTACACCCAGCTCTCCCCTACACCTCAATCCTTTACAGAATACACCTGGTTCACCTACACCTCTTTCCCATACATCCTACCCATCCTAAACAGGCCACACTCCTACACTTACCATCCCTACTTGCTGTTACTGCCAAGATCAGGGCTCGTAATCCTGATGGGGGAGGGGTGATGGTGACAACACCCCCAAGGACACCAAGAGAGGAACAACCTGACGGCGAAGAAGAAAAAAAAATCAACTCCGTCGTTCTCCTCCTCTCGACGACCATTAAGCTATTAGTATGTAGAGCGTCTCAATTAGTTTCTAGTGCCAATAGTGTGACTCTTTGACTCCAGTTATTAAAACCACAACTTGTGAAACTACTGTGAGCTGTCTGTGGTGATCGGATCTGTGGGTCGGAATGTTTACTAGAGTGACGACCGAGTGTGTGTATGTGTGTGTGTGTGTGTGTGTCGTACTCACAGCTGGAGTTGGACGACGACTCCTCTGGTCGTCTTTTGCGTCTCAGCCTCGGAGCCTCGTGAAACAGATGGTTATTAACAGCTGGTCACTTCCCGGTGTGTGTCAGGCAGTTGTTCTACCCCCCTCCCTCATAATACTCCTCAAGTTAACAGCTTTTTAAATCCTTCTTTAAATATATGTTACGTTTTCTATAGACGGTATACGGGGATAACACTATATTATTACATATACTGTATAATATATGACAGTATATAATGTATTGTGAACTTAATCGTGAATTTTTTTAATGACACATGAGATAATGTATTTTGTTTACATTTCAATTGATGGTCATATTGAGTCAACAGTTTTCAGAGAATTGTGTTTATCTATGTATTCTATAAACGTATTCCTCTTTATGTTGAAATATCTTTAATGAAATTGTATGTCTTACTGGTGCACAAAATCATACACAACTTTTTCATCATTAGTTAACGAGATATAAAATAAATTATAATCACACGAGAAAAAAGTATGAGAAGGAATATTTGGACCTTAAGATGAAAAACTTACTCAAAATTGTGTATTTGACTTGAACAATACATAGAAATTACATAGAAGTAAAGCTTGAGGTGTAGAGGCTGAGTTGTAGAGAAACCTTCCTGGACACCATTACTTTAAGTGGTTCTTGTGTTAAGTTTGTAATGTGATGCGCAAGTAGTTCTCTGTTGAGGCTGGGCCGTGTATGTGTCTCGGGGCTTTAGTTTCGACCAGTGAGGTGAATTTTCCGAGTGACAATAATTTAAAAGTAATGTCTGTCATTATAATAAGAGAAAAGTGAGGCTTTATGAAGTCTTTATGTTTGATGTCCCAATCTTACATGAACGTAAGATAAGGTGTGGACATTTCCTAATCCGGGTCTGTAAACACATAGCACAGCTTCAGGACATTTAACAGCCAAACTATGTAACCGAATGATACAACTTATGGACACTGCCGACATGAGAGGTATAAACATGTGAGCCATTTTCTGGATATTTTTCCCAATTCAGAAAAGCGAACTTTTGACACATGTCGAAGCTTTCCTGTGGTTGGTGCTGTGAAAAGACACCTCAGCTCACGTCATTGGAACAGCCAGATAATAGGGCGCTGTTGGCGGGAGTAGATGGTGGACTGTATATATGTGTTTGTATACGGACGTAGAGTGTTATTAATGCTGTGTTTGTTGTTGTTGTTATTGTTGTTGTTACCGCTCGCTCCACCACGCCCGGAGTACAGGTGACACAGTGGAGAAAAAAAAATCCTTGTTAAAAGTGCTTCACATCACCCGTGTATGTCTGTCTGTCTGTCTGTGTGGTGTGTCGATGTTTCGAATCCAATCGCCACACCGAGTTGGTAAAACACCTGGTGTATATTTGACAGCCTCTGTGTGGTCTATGTGTAATTCGAACGTACTTATGGCTATGATGCCACTGTATATTTACATTCGACCCAAGGTACAGGAGATACAAAGGAAGTGTACCGGTATACCAGAGACAATATTTGAGTATACTAAGTGTGAGTTCCGGTGTGTATAAGATAGCACTGACCACGGCACACGTCCACATAGTAAAACTCCCTTGTACAGTGTTTATATTCCGTGGACATAACAGGTGTGAAGCTCAGCAGTGAATCATCTATGGGGAAACACCTGGCGTTTTTATCTGACGGATTCCAACCCACGTCCTCAGGTAACAAGAACGACCCCACTTCACCACAATGTAGAGTGGTGAAACTGTGTATATTTGTATAATAAGTGTATGAACTCTTTTAAGGTGAGGACAACCCATGTACAGTACATTCAGTGACAATAGGAAGGTCAACAATTTGCATGAATTTGATATTCCGAATTATTCCAGTGTAGAGGCAGGTGAGATAATTTTGACCAGTTTCTTGTAGTGTTAAAACCTTTAATCCGGCGAAGAGGTCGCTGGGTGTTGTGTGAGTACCGGCAGGAGGAGATCTTCTGCTGGTACGTCTTCTGTGAGTACCGGTGGAAGGAGATCTTCTGCCGGTACGTTTTCTGTAAGTACCGGCAGGAGGAAGTCTTCTGCCGGTACTTCTTCTGTGAGTACCGGTGGGAGGAGATCTTTTGCTGATACGTTTTCTGTAAGTACCGGCAGGAGAAGTCTTCTGCTGGTACGTCTTCTGTGAGTACCGGTGGAAGGAGATCTTCTGCCGGTACGTTTTCTGTAAGTACCGGCAGGAGGAAGTCTTCTGCCGGTACTTCTTCTGTGTGTACCGGTGGGAGGAGATCTTCTGCTGGTACGTCTTCTGTAAGTACCGGCAGGAGAGTGTCTTCTGCCGGTACTTCTTTTTTGAGTGCCGGCAGGAGAAAGTCTTCTACCGGCATGTCTACATACTATGTAAGTTGATCTCATGTTTAACTAATTTATATTTTTTAAAATAAAACTTAATTCACAAGTGTTGTTTTATTCAAACTTATTAAACCTCTCCTTAAGATTATCTCTAATGTCAATAAGGAAAGCGTGAGGCAGATGTACTTGAGGAGGTCTGGGTGCATGTGTACCAGAGTGCTTTTAGGTGCATGTGTACCAAAGTGCTTTCGGTGCATGTGCACCAAGGGACATATTGAGGTAGGTCAAGGTTGTCTAGAATGTCAATAAGGAAAGAGTGAGGCAGATGCACTAGAGGACGTCTGGGTGCACGTGTACCAGAGTGCTTTCGGGTGCATCTGTACCAGAGTGCTTTTGGGTGTATGTGTACCCGTGGTGTTTCGAGTGCACGTGTCCCATAGGGACGGCTCTGCTCCTGGTTGCTGACCTAAGCTGCTCAGTAAGCTTACATATACTACAAGCCAAAGCTTTAAATGGGAGAAGGTCTGGATATCTATGGGAGTGCAATAGGTAATTAATGAGCTAACAATGAGTACACAAGCAACAACAAATGGGTATAACACAAAATAGCTACCTGGCAATTCAAGAGGACGTGCCAATGACCTACGGACAAGGACCGTACCCTTGACCTCCGGTGGATGATGAAATTCGACCACGAGGTCCCAAGCACAGTGAGCCAAACGGTATGATGTAATAACATCGGAAAAATCCCATAGTTTGAATAGGGAGGAAGTCTGCCTCATAGATAGATAATATTGGCAAAGCCCTTCTGGAGTGACGAAGCAGAAATAGACCTGGAGCGCTCGGTCAAGTTTATTTGATAGTAGCCCTGTAGGAAATCCAATTTGGTGACATACTGCACCTGTTCCAGGTCGTCGATTACATCATCAATGCGGGCAGAGGATAGGAGTCTGGTACAGTGACGGCTTTAACCTTGCGGTAGCCCACACTGCCGCATGGAACCCTCTGGCTTACGTACAAGTACTAACAGTACTAACGAGGAAGCCCAAGGGCTGATGCTTGGCTCCACGAGGCCCAGATCCTTAAGGCGCTGTATCAGCTTTCTTCGGTAGTTCCGCTTGTAGGTGTTAATGCCGTAAGGGGACTGTTGAATCGGCCGTACTCCTCGAGTCACGTCATCATGCTGTAGTATTGAGCGGGGATGAGGATAGTCACTGACGATACTCCGGAACTCTTGTAGTGATAAATTAACATCCCTGGGTTGGACACTAGAAGACGAGATATCTTAGTACTGACGTCATCCAAAACAGACGAGTTTGCTCAATACACTGAACCCATTCAATCTCTCTACAAAACACTTTAGTACAATTACACAGGTTGGCATTGAGTTTACTACCTCCTTGACTTTTACTCCCGGGTTTGTTACGCACACTGGCTTAATCAAATTTACATGTACAGGGCGTAGAGGCCACTTAAACATAGAACTCACACAGTATTAAACATAAGAGATAACCGCATGAAGGTCACCCTGCCAGCCTTAAGGCACACAACTGATGTCAATGGCACACAAGACAAAGCAGCTCTGGTCTGCGTCGGTGTTGTAAACATTGTCGTTATTACTTTCACTTAACACCTGGAGAAACACCAAAGGAACACTAACACCTTGGGGAACACTGGAGGAACACTACCACCTTCAGGAACACTGGAGGAACACTACCACCTTCAGGAACACTGGAGGAATACTAACACCTTGAGGAGCACATGAGGAACACTACCACCTTGAAGAACACTGGAGGAACACTTACCACCAAGGAACACTAGAGGAACACTACCACCTTGGTGTAGAATAAAAAAAACCCAAATTTAATCCTAACTATTATCTAACTAATGTATACAAGATCGATAGTTTAATTCAGGAGTTTTCACATTACATAACATACTAACTCACTACACACCCAACTTACAAAAATAAATGGAACCTTATCGCAGGCCAGAACTACGCAGGACCTAGTATACCCGGGGTCACTACTACAAAAACCCACGTAATGGGGAATCGTGGTCGTGTTATTCAAGTGTTATGCTACTTCTACAATAACACTAGTATGATATATGGCAATGCTTTGGGTATTAAGCGCCTAAAAAAGTTGAAGAAATTGTCATGAATAAAGTATTAACGTATGATAAAACAAAGCCCCAAGAGTAAGTACACAACAGGTAAAGGGTTAGTATTTACCTTCATTAACCAACAAAAGAGTTTGTAGCAAGACCCAACCACATCTTCACTCGTCTTGTGTCAACTGAACCAAGAAAGATGTTTCCTGGAAGACTAATATGGCTGATGAATATGATAGGTGCTGTGACCATGACGTCTGATGAGGCGAACAGACGAGGTGACCAGCTAGATGATGGGGCGTGCAAGTAAGGGTGACCAGCTAATGGGGCTTACAGGTAAGGTGATCCGCTAATGGGGCGTACAGGCGAGGTGACCAGCTGGATGATGGGACGTGCAAGTAAGGGTGACCAGCTAATGGGGCTTACAGGTAAGGTGATCCGCTAATGGGGCGTACAAGCGAGGTGGCCAGCTAGATGGTGGGGATGGACAGGTAAGATACGTCCACAAAAAGTAAAATTACACCATGATACCTCAACAAAGTTGCTTTCGTTGGTACCAAATATCGAAATAAATGCTTTCTGATTAATATGGTGCGACGAGGAAGTTAGGTAAGGCTAGGTCAGGTTCTAAGGGGAGGGGTGAGAACTCCAAAAACGCTCCGGAAATGAAGGTCACATTCAAATGAGGCCCTAAATAACATGGGGAAAAAATAGATTTCTGGTCAAAACCAATTGGTAGTGAAACAGCAATGTTATCTATTATGTGAAGTCTGTTTGAATGACAGAAGAAACTAATCTAATCTATCTGGAATAATCTTGTTCAAGTGAATAATTATATGCAATATATAATCGCCGATTTTGTGCATATACTTTACCAGTAAACAAGAATTATTGGTTGGTTCAGAATTCCCTCTCAGTCCTCCTCTTAAGGTTACCATCCATCAAACATAACCAATTCTAATTTAACTGTAATATAAATAGTTACTCGTTCATACATCTTAATTAATGAACCTTCGTAAAATTAGTAGTGTTCGAGGCAACATTCGTAGAGCAGTTCTCTTCACGCAGACTGTGATTAAATTCATCAACTGAATAATCTGATTCGGGAATAATGACAAATGTTTGAGTTACAGAAGCTGCTCTCTACAGAAGGGTTCCCCATGATGTGAGAAGTGGACAATGGATGATGCTCAGCAATCCTGTTCAACTTTTCGAATGAAGAAGCAAATCCAATCGAAAAGAAATACCATGATGAGTTCAAGCTATAGTCACTCCATCTCCACAATAACACCAACAACAGGAAATAAGCGGTAAAAGGTAACACTTGCTTGATTAAGCGGCAACTAAAATGTAGGCTCAACAGGTCTAAATTCAATCTTCTGGCTATTCAATAGAATTGGCGTTAGTCTGTATCAATTGTGATCTATTTTTTAAGGAGACTTTCCTGTGACTACTTAAAATGTTTATAATTTCGGTGTATTTCCAAACCCTGATTAATTTCAAAATGCGGTAAGTTTGCTTAAGTTAAAATTTGTATGACAACGTTCCATTTCAGTCACTGGAAGGAATACTTTGTCCAATAGAATCGGAATTTACTGCTGTAGTGATGCCAACTGTCAAGTCTAGAACGAATTCTTCATATGTGACAATTAATGACGTGTCTGATGAATCCATACAAGTGGTAGTGTTTATACGTGCCATTGCTAGGTAAATAGCATAGCCTAAGTACACAGTACTTGTTCATATCTTTCAGTTTACACGCACATTATACCATGAACTATTAATCTCCACATGCTGAATACACTCATAGTGCTCATATTTGGTTTGCTTTTTATCAAACTTTAAGTGGGGCAAGCTCTTATATTCCTCCCCTACATGAATTACCTAAGCTTATACTACAGGGAGTCAAGGGGCGACTTAATTGAAGTTTTATAAACAACTCAGAGGGCATTACTCAGTCTAGGGCTCATACTTGAGTTGGGGGACGCCTGGCCAAGCCTGGGGCGGGGCGGTGGTCACAGCTTATAGTTGAATAGAAGCCATGTTCGGAAATTGTCAAGGCAAACTTTTTCTGAGTTTGTACTTTTTCTTCGAGCTCTTAGAACCTTCGCACACTCTGCCAGAGAGTGACAGCACCGGAGAGTGAGCCTATTCACACCAAACTGACCAATACTGGCGCAGGTGCAGATACATTCTGCAGCCAGTTTTTGCCCAGCACTTGCCACGACCACATGCAGCCTGTCTGGCATTGGAGGATCTGTTTGCGGAGTTCTGGTCAGCCAGATATTTGCTCAGCCCAGCCAGCCATTCACCCCAGCCAGCCAGCTATTCACCGGCCAGCCAGCCGCTTACTTCCCAGCTAGCCAGCCATAAACCCTGCTCAGCCTCAGAGAGCCAAACAATCTAAAATAACAACAACCCCTTCCCCGCATCCACACACTCCCTCCCATCCACTCACCCTCTTTCCTCCCACTCCACCTCTGGTTCTCCCCATCCATACCCCACCCAATCCACACCCTTCCTCCATCTACACACCCTAGAAAGAAAACTCAAATGAATATTTGATGATTTTGATATTCTTTCACGAGCAAGGAGCGAGCCATCGTCGAACATAACTCACGTCTCACGGCCTAAAAACCCCAAATAAATAATAATAATAATAATAATAATAATAATAATAATAATAATAATAATAATAATAATAATAATAATAATAATAATAATAATAATAATAATAATAATAATAATAATAATAATAGTATTTATAATAATAATAATAGTAATAATAATAATAATAATAGTAATAATGATAAAAATAGTAATGGAAGTATTACGCTTATGCTAACCGTGGAAGCCAACTGCTTGTTTGGTTGTGGACTAGTTTAGTGACGTAAGAGCGGAACGTTGACGAAGCTTCGAAACTCATGACTATCTTTCGTTAATAATCATCAGTTCTATTTTAGCTAATGGTGGATAGAAGTGATTTAAGAAAAT